CTTCCCTTAAAGGAGCAGCTCTAGTCTCTGCTTGTCTCTAGCAAATCAGAGCCCATCCAAGAAAATGCTGCTACCAAGAAGCCTTGCTTGTCTCTGTTCTTTTGTTTCTAAAATCCTTTTTAAAGCTTTTGTCAATTTTTAAGTGGAAGTTCTTAGAAACCGCGTTGCAGATGCCATTTTGTACATGCACTTTCCCACCTGCCAGGTCCCACTGCCGTGTCAGCCCCAAGTAACACACAGAGACTCTGTATTAGATATAAAGCTGTTGGCCAGTTACTAGCGTTTCTTATTGGCTAGCTCTATTTTAAATATTAACCCATTTCTATCAATCTAAGTGTTTCCACATGGTCTTAGTGGGAGAGAGGGGGGGAGTGGAAGAAAGAGAGAGAGAGAGAGAGAGAGAGAGAGAGAGAGAGAAAGAAAGAGTCTAGACTTCTTATTCCTCCCATGGCCTACATCTTAACTTCTCTCTACTGCCTCTCCCAGAATCTTCCTTGTCTCCTAGTCTGCCTGTCTTGCTTTCCTATTGGCCAACAGGGTTTTATTCATTAATCAATAGAGAAACATATCTACAGAATGACATCTCCCATCAGTGACAGATGAAAATAAGGATGCCACTGAAGACTTAACTTAGTGAGTCAGTAGTTTATTGGAGTTCCTTATAGAAGTATGGGTGAGAGATTAAATACATGAGCATGGGTGACTCAAAGGCAGCTATGTCACCAAAGCCCACCCAAACATGGGCAATGGCTCATGAAAGCTGGACCTCTGGAGCTCCCTGCCCAGCTTGCAAGCAGTTTGACAGGTCGCTTCCAAGCAGCTCTTCTGGTTTAAGAGCCTCTCAGCAGTCCTGATGGCTTATATGACTTTAGAAAGGGAAGGGCCTGTGCATCTGCTCAGTTTCAGGGACATTCTGAGAATTATGAATTGTTTATTTCCTCCCTCTTAATGAACCTCCATTTAGAATCTTCTGAGTCTTAAGAAGTTTCACCTCCAACATCAGAATGTCTCAACTCAGGAAATTGCCACACAACACAGGCTCCTTTTCCTGCCTCATACTATTTCTCTGAGACCTTAGCTCTTTCTAGTGTAGCATGGTTCCTGGCTACTGCTAATAACACATCTTCCTTAGCCAGAGTTAGAGATGCATACATACTTGTGTGTGTGTGTGTGTGTGTGTGTGTGTGTGTGTGTGTGTGTGTGTGAACTATCTATCTATCTATCTATCTATCTATCTATCTATCTATCTATCTATCTCTGGGACCCAAAGGATATGTGATGCTTAAATGTCTTAACAAAAACTGACCAACTATAGTCAAGTATGGAGATTCACAACTGTGATCCTAACATCTAGGAGACAAAGGTCAGGGGTTGGCTTTGAGTTCCAAGTCTGCCTGGGCTGCAGAGTAAGGCTGTCTGTTCTATTTACTTTTCTATTGTTGTGACAAAACACCATGACTATGGCAACTTATTAAAGAAAGCATTTAACTGGTTTTACTGTTTCAGAGGGTTAGAGTCCATGATGGCATAGCGAAAGCATGGCCGCAGTAACAGCTGAGAGTCCACATCTGGATTTATAACCAGGTGTTAGAGGGGGGTGAGGAGAGACTTGGAATGTCAGGAATCTTTTGATTTAAGCCTGCCTTCAGTGACACACATCCACTAACAATGCCACACTCTCAATCCTTCCCAAACACTTCCACCCACTGGGGACCAAGCATTAAGACATACAAGCCTATTGGGCTGGGGGGGGGATTCTTATTAAAATCACCATGTTGCCTCAAAATAAAATAATATAAAGACACATATGGGCCCTCTTCCCGAAACTCTGAATCATCCATGTCATTTGTGACCCTACACCATGGACACATACAAATAGTTGTTCTGCTCTTTTATTTGGGGACAGTGACAAGAAAAAGAAGTCTGTACATGTTCAGTACAAATGAATTTTTTTTTTATCTGTGGCTGATGGTTCAGAGGTTCAGAGAGCGAGCTGTCCCTACTTCCATCTTTATTTCTCTATATGTCAAGAACAGTGCATTTATCCAGGCATGATGCATTCATCCAGGCATGATGCATTCATCCAGGCATGATGGATTACATCTCTAATCCCAGCACTTGGAAGGCAAAGTCAAGAGAGTCATCACAAGTTTAAGACCAGCCTGGTCTACACATAATGAATTCCAGGACAGCTAGAGTGAGACTCTGGTGCCAATCAGTCAAAAGAGAATTGTGGGTTTATGCTAATACCCTGTACCAGGGTCTGGGGAGATGGCTCAAGAGGTAAGAACACTGGCTGCTCTTCCAGAGGACCTGGGTTCAAATCCCAGTATGTACATGGTGGTTCACAACTGTCTATAACTCCAGTCCTAGGAGATCAGGTACCCTCTGCTGGCCTTCTGAGGTACTGATCCATGTGGTGCACAGACATGAAAACACTCATATTTAAAAAGTTGATTAAATAATAAATCCCTCTACCAAGCCAGTAGCACAAGGCTCTGAATTTTTTCTGGGTTGTATTTTAGCTTCTCTCTTCAGCACTGTTTTTCACTTGTGCACCTGTTTGCTAAGCTCTGGCTGCAGATGGCCTGCTGAGCCATCCAGTGTGAATTCCTGGGCCCTCCCTAACCACACTCCTGAATCTCCACCTTAGCAACCAGGAATGACAAAGGGAAGAGGCTAGCAAAGGTGACTGTTTAGTGAAGTGCCTGGCAGAATGATCATCCTGTGGTTATGGGTATCTGTTCTATGTGTTTCCCTTGCACTTTCTGATTTTTTGTTTGTTTGTTTCTAAACAGTAAGCATGCAAATGGAAGAAACACACAAAAGGGGTCCTTGGGGACCCTCCCCAGGCTGCCCATACTCATTGCCTCTGTTTCTTCTTTTAGTGTCCACCATATTTTGATCCTTGGTTTAAAAAATGGTGACAGGATTCTGAGGATACAACTCAAACCTTCTGAATTCAAATTACCTGGGGGAGAGGGTAATGAGTCTGGATTAATTGCTCAGTGAGCCTGTAGTAACCAAGTCCTCTTTACTGACTAGAGAGCAATTAAATTAAGCTGCTACAAAATGCTGTCTCTGCAAAGCCTTTGAGGAGAGCTGATTAGCCAAATTGTATCTTCAGTTTAAGGAGCAAAACTCTCAGCTCAAACTGGTTGAAGCAAGCAGGGGGACAAACGGGGACCTATTTTAATGTCTCTGAAAAATCCTAGGGGTAGGGTAAGGGTAGTATAGCACAGAGGTGTCCCAGTAGGGTCCTGTGGATTACTCCTCAGGCCTCCTTGGCTCCTTGTCCCTCTCTCAAGTTCTTTCAGCTGTTCTCCCTGCTCCAGCAGCAGTAAGTAAGGTCTAGCTCCAGCAGCAGCAGTTAAGTGCTAGCTCCAGCAGCTGTAAGTGCTAGTTCCAGCAGCTGTAAGTAAGTGCTAGCTCCAGCAGCTGTGAAGAATGTTTCTTTTCCAGAAGTCCTGACAGTTGTTCTGGCCTCGGAGCTCTTTTCATCTACTTCCGCTACAAAGTTCCTCCCTGAGCCTTAACTTGCAATGATAGAGATGCCAGCTGCATAGCCATGGCCTGTCCTGCAAGATCAGGTGCACCTGGGCCATCTGAACCAGCAAGAGCTGGGCAGGCAATCTCAGAGACAAAGCAGGTGCTTGAGTGAAGCGGGGACACCAGGCAGGCAGGCAGGCAGGCAGGCAGGCAGGCAGGCAGGCAGGCAGGCAGGCAAGCAGGCAGGCAGGCAGGCAGAGCAGCAGTATCTCCTTTAGGATCCATCTAGTCAATAGTGAGAGTGTCTCAGGGGACTTGGCACTATAAATGGATATTTTTCCAGTGGTTTAGCAACCACAGTCTACTTCTCCCTATCTTTGTAGAGTGGCTCTTGTTCTCATTGACACTGCTAAGGTAAAGTGTACTCTGTACACTGATCAGAGACATAGTCTGTTGATGCAGGTCCAGTGTCATTATCCACAATGGCTTTGTCCTTGGTGTGACAGACCTTTTTCTCTCTGTGAGGTCACTGTCTGGCAGAGGTGTCCAGTCACCTGTGCAGAGACCTCCCTGCCCCTTTGAACTGGGATGGGGTGCTGTATCTATTTTTGGGGCCCAGTGTCATGTGCTCTTTGATGTCCTTGTCCTTGTTCTCCGTGACTCATTCAAATCTGTTAGAGGGACACTAGTCCCACTTAATGGCAAGGACATCCATAAGCTTGAAGGTGAGGGTCAAGCTAATGGAAGGCCTGGGACCTAGTCCAAGTATGTTTGGCCTCATAGCTACCTGAGCTGTTATCACTATGTCAACCCCTAGAAGGACTTGGAAGGGATGGTTCACATGGTGGGACTGCCCTACCTATGGAAGGTTTGATTGCATTTATTAAATACAGCATGAAGCTGTGCTTGCATATGTAAAGACAAGTGCAGGCCTCCTTGCACACAACACAGGAATAGGGCTCTGAGCATCTCCATGGCCGTGCACAGTAGCTTCCTTCCTGAGTACATGGACTATTTACACAGAGCTGAACATCCTGACCTCTATTTCCCACAGCTCAGCCCCCACATCACAAAAAGACCTATTTGTCTTTTGGATAACGTGTCTCTCTGGATCTGTGTGGAAGGAACCCTGAGGCTTCTTCCAGACCCCTCGCCCAAGAGTAGAGCATAGGTTCCCAACTGGTCAGGGATTTCCTTAGCTGGGAGTCTGAAACCTTCCTTGGTGTACAGGGGTGTGATGTCTGTAGGCCTCAGTCTACAAGGCTGGGTGGAGTAAGGTTGGCCAGGCACCCTGCCATGCTTTTAAATGGGTTGAAGGGTACTGGGCACAGGCTTGTGGCCTGGGCAGCCTTAGGTACCAAGTCTCACTCAACATCTGTGTCTCAGCCCTAGACAGCAGGGGGCACTGGGTTCTCATGCAATCTCCATGTCTCAGGCCCAGCTCACAGAGGACACTGGGGTATTTGTCTCAAGCAGGGGCCACCGAGGTCTCATTCATTCTCTTGTCTCAGGCCTGCAGGTATGGCCATGTCCAGCATCTGGAACATCTGCTCTTCTATGGCGCGGACATGAGTGCACAGAACGCCTCGGGGAACACAGCCCTGCATATCTGTGCTCTCTACAATCAGGTCAGTGACATGCAGATCCCTCATCCTAACCCTGGGGTGTACTGAGCAAGGGATGGAGGGGCTAGCCTGGGTGTCTCTGTTACCCTTATCTGTTGCCTTAGTGGGAACCAGAGAAGCTGTGAGCAGTCCCAGGTCACATTCCAGATCTACAGTCAGCCCTTCCTGTGCAGTGCCTATGACCCAGGCTGCTTGTCTGGAAGACATGGGAGAAGCTGGGACCACCCGTTCCCTTGACTGAGTGCCAGCTTTGCTTGGTCCAGGAGCTTGGCACCTGGGGAACCCCCTCCTCTCTCATTTTCACTTGTAGTTAAATAAATGTGCATAGCAAATGTCACTCTCAAACATTGTAGGCCACCAATTCTTTGACATTCAGTGTATTCATGGTGCTGTACAGCCATTCCCACTACCAAGCTCCAGAGTTTCTTATCTTCCCAGACTGAATCTCTGTCCCTGGGAACCACTGACTCCTGACCCCTCCCAAGGCCCCAGTACCCCATTCTGCTCTCTGCTGGATTTGAGGACTCTAGGGACGTTCGAAGACTAGGATCCTGCAGAAGCTGGCTTTCCACACCCAGCTCCTTCTACTCAGCATCATGTTCTCATGGTCCAACTGTGGTAATGAGTGACAGGGGCTCTTCCTTCCACACCACTGAGGGATGGGCACCTTTGCTCACCTCCTCTCCCATAGGTGGACACATTCTGCCTTTGGCTGTTGTGGTTTGTGCTATGAACCCAGGTTGGCAGACTCAGGTTCTAGCCTCAGCTTTCTTCTGGCCTCCTTGGGGACAAACTCATAAGTAGAACTCAAGATAAACAGCACACTGATGTACTGCACCCCCTCCCCAGCTCTTGTGTCAGACCCTGGTGGTGTGTTCTAGAAGCCCCAGAGGCTGGGGGGGGGGGGACATGGTCCCTGCTCTCTGAGAGAGAGAGAGACTCCTTAGTGGCTGGGACTTGGATCCTGGACCATGAGTATCCTGAGCTAGATGTGGAGGAAAAGTGAGACTCACTTTTCCCATGGGAGGGCTGAGGGTAGTGCTGCTGAAAGCTGCAGGGTCAGCTTCAGTGAGCATAGAGGGCGCTCAAGGTCAGATTGACATAGGACAACCCCACTGAAGACCCTACTTTCTTCTATCTCTTCTCTAACTTCACAAAACTTCAAGCCTGGGCTGGGGCTGGTGACCCGCAGACATGACCCAGGCAGTCCAGCAGAGGGACTGGGGAAAGACTCCCCACCTCTTGGAGCCTCAGTGGTGAGGCTCTGTTGAATAATGCTGGGGTCTAGCCTCAGTGAACACTGACATCTCTTCCAATCCTATCCCACTGCTGACGGTACTTCTGGATGACAACTCAAGCCTAAGCCCACACCCAAGTTTGTTCCCAGCTCTAATGGCTGATCCCAAGTCCAGTCTATTGCTAACACTAACTTTCCTGGATCCTTCACCCTTGAAAACTACAAACCCTTTAAGAACACAATTACATGGTTCACACCCAGCCAAACCTTCTTTCTTCTTTTGACACTGTAGACTTCATGGATGCCTTGCTCTGCAAACCACTGTCATGATTAGGTCGATGGCATTGGTGTTTCATCTGGAGTATCTTGCAGTGGTCCTGGCTTGCATGCAGGGTGTATTCCCAGTGACAGTGGCCCCCACGTTCACTGTGGAGCTCAGCTAGGGGAACCCTTGTTAAGTGTGGGAATACTCCACTGCCTTAGAAAACACAGCATGAGGCTTGGCTGGGTCTAGGAAAACATCTGCACCAACATCTGCTTTGTAATGATTTCTTGCGATGGGAAAACATGGCTTAATTTCACTCAGTATGTTTCAAGCATATTTTAATCACAAAAAACCAGGCAATCACAGCTTTTGTCACATAAAGTAATTGTGGGTATGATGGTCTCCAAAAGGGAGGCTACAGGATTATATTAGGCAGACTGTGTTCTAAGCTATATAGGAGATTGATCCTGCTGGGGTTCACTCTGCATACCCCAGAGCTGTCTCCATTCCTAGGAAGGTCCCCAGATGGCCAGGGATGCCATGTTAGTTCACAGGATCTGAAGTTACTTGCCACACAGTCCTGACACCAAACCAGCTAGGATGTCAGAAAGTATACCAGAATCTTCCCTCCACTGGACGGTAGGGGTGTTTCAGTCTCTGCCCTCAACCCTTCCCTAGCCTGTTGCTCTTTGTGTCTGAATTGTGTGAGTGAAGCTCCAAGAGACTCACAGTCTTGCATAGCTTCCCTGAGCTCATGGAACTGTCCCAGGAGTGAAGGATAACCTAGCCTTTGGCACTGAACACAAGTAATCTTCAGTCTGTCCCCTCTGTATCATCACCTTGCTGGCACCTGTGCCCATGGCTCCTGTCTACATACGGGTGAGCTATAAAGATGCACAGACTTGGTTGTTGATGACAGAGACCACACCAGCAACATTCTATAGGAAGTGGGGTCAGATTGTGATGCTGAGGATATGCCCCAGGGAACAACAGAATTCAGAAGGGCAAGGTTCTGGCCAAGGAAAGAAGCAGCTTTGGGGACATAGAGTAGTGACAAGGAGGCCTGGCACACTGGACTCTGTTGAGTGTAAACTGGTACCTGGTTGTGCAGTTGGGCAGCCCCATATTTCTCTTGGGCCCAGGACTTCTAAGAGACTGAAGTAGAAACCAAAAATCTGTGATACCTGGTGTAGAGGGAGGACTCAGCAACTCAAGGTTGTTGTGGTGATATTGGAGGTAGTGATGGTGGTGGCAGTGATGGCTGAAGATGATGTTCATGGAGGTGATGCTGGTGTTGTTGTTACTGTTGATAATGAGATGATGGTGGTGATGGTGATTATAGTGATGAAGATGCTGTTATGGTGAAGAGAGTGAAAATGATGATGAGGATGGTGGTGATGATAGTGATGATTGTGGTGATACTTATAGTGAGATGGTGATAGTAAAGTTGATTATGATGGTGGTGGTGGTAGTGATGATGATGGCAAAATTAATAATGGCAATGGTGAGTATGATAGTGTTGTGATGATACTTATGGTGAAGGTGGTGATGATAATGGTGATAGTAAAGTTGATGATGATGGTGATGGTGATGACAATGGTAAAGTTAGTGATGACAATGGTGATGATGATAGGGACAGAGGGATGATGGTGGTAGTAATGATGGTGATATTAAACTTGGTGATGAAGATGGTGGTGGTGATGCTACTAATGATAATGATTGTTCTTAATGAGCTACTTCTTAGATCTGGAAGCCTCAGGTGTGTAGAATGATATGCATGCTTTGTCAATTTCATCAGGACTCTGCTAATAAAACACACTGTGATCAGAATATTCTCTTTCCTCTCATGCAATCAACTAATTAGGGCTTTGATTGTAAGCAGCAAATTGATTCTAATCTTTGGGCTCTCTTGTCTCACGCTGGCTTCCCAAGAATTCCAGAGGGAGAAAGCAACACCCTGGATAATGAATGATCAGAGAAAACTTAAATATCAAAGGTTACTAGAGCAGCCTAGTTTGTCTAGAAGATAAACACACACATGAACACACACACACACGAACACATGCACTTACATACAAACATGCACTCTGCTCTTGGTAGTATGCCTTTTGTATGTGTGTGAAGAGGAGCGTTTTCAATGTGTATCTCTGTGCCTTGCTGGTTTCTCATGGTACATGTGTCTGTCCATTCCATGGCTACTTCCCTGGGTCCATCTGAGGGCCATCATCCCCATAGGTATCATGGCTGTGAGTCTCTCAGAATGGACTGCTGTCTGGTGATGTAATGAAGCACTTTGGAATGGGTTTATTTGGCTTCCAGGACATAGTTCATTGAGGTAAAGCAACTTAAAGCAGAAGCTATGGAGGAATGTGGATTGCTGGCTCACTCAGGATCTTGCTTAGACATCATTCTTACAGACCAGGACCACCTACCTAGGGAATGGTATTGCCTATAGTGGGCTGATCCCTCCTGTACTAACTTGCAATCAAGACATTCATCTACAGACATTCCTACAGATCAATCTGATCTGGAAAGTCAACTGAGACTCCCTTCTCAGCTGATTCCATGCTGTGTCAGATTTACAAGTAAATCTAAGTCTGAGATGAGAGCCTTATGGATATCATTGACTGCTGTTTCCTTCATACTGGTCAGCAGATCCAGGTTAGGATGTGGTAAAGCTCAGCTTCCATTCCATTCCCTGCAGCCTTTGGGGGCTGGATGGAGCTTAGGGGGTACAAGTTAAGCATGTGAAGTAGGTGGTCTTTAACTAGCCTGGTCCCTTTTTGGGCATACACTACTGAAGGTTGCAGACTCACCTTGGTGATGCTTCTATCTTAACCCTTCATGTGCCAGCCTTTTCCTGAGCGAGTGTGTCTTTGATCTGTGGCTTATGTTCAAGGACAATGTAACCTGGAAATGAGATCCTGCCTTATGTCTGAACAATGAATGACCCATGTCTATGACATTCTTGTGATGGTGCCTCATGTAGCTGTGCTAGGATAGGAAGTCCTGGGTTGGCTTTGGTGGCAGTGATGGCCGTCCTGAACAAACATAGACTGCAACTCTGGTTTTCTCCTTCTCTATAGTACGTCAGGGCTAATAGAAACATATCACTGCTAAGCTCCCTAGTGGCACTTGCCCCAGCTCATGCAAGCTGTTTTGATGGTCATATGCCTCCCTGACATGGTCCATCAGATCTCATCTATTCCTTCCAGACAGTCCCTATCCATGTGGCATTTCCAACTCCACTTCCCAATGGCACCTCTTGGCGTCCATGCCTCATACTTCCGGTACACAGATTCTATCCTTCAGGGACATGGGCTTTGCCTACCCACAGACTTTGGTGCCTTCTAGAATGTAGGCAACTCTTTGTCAGTATCTCACAGTGATGAGCTCTGCTTACTTGGTGTCTCCACCTGGTGGCCTCTTAGGAGACTCAGTCCCTATGGTCCTGCAACTGATGTCCTTTTCTCCGGAGCTTGAGGCTGAGCTCCAAATGGCTCCCATCCTGCTTGTCCAGGTCTGTCCCATATTGATCCATCCTCACCTGTTCCCTCACCCATCCCTGCTAAGGGCTCTGATATCCTTCCCAGGACCATGGTATTATTCACTGTCACTGTAAATTGGGTCCTACTGCAAATTCTGAGACCTGCCCCAAAATGTCGTCCCATGATTCCCTCACACCTTACTGCTTCTGTGGTGTCTTTTCATTGGTCTGTCTGTGGGGATCCTGCCATCTGTGACCACAGCTTCTCTTGTCACACCAGGGCTCAGCCTATTGACTGTTGCCTGTGTCATCTCCATCAGACATGTCTTCCTTTAAAGTCCACACAAGGACCTTCAGAACAGCCCGGTTTGGCTGCTTCTCATCCCCCACTCCCATCCCTGCCTGTTCCAAGCTCACAGGAACCATGACCCTTTGCTTTGATTCTGCATCCCCAGAATCTGGTGAGGCCATTGGCCTGTCCACCTCCCACATGCATGGATGACCATGATTTCTCAGTCTGTCCCTTTACCTGCAAAGTGGACAGGATAGTGGGTCCCCACGGCTTATGGAGCCCTAGGCACAGGACCCATGGCTAAGTGCAGGGTGGCCTCAGAAAGACTCCCCTTAGGGAAACTACAAATTTTTAAGTGTCTCTGAAAATTTGCACAAAGAGAAAAACTGGCGGTGAAATGGTCCTTAGAAGATGAACATAAATTGCTTATGTATTCATACTTCATTGATTTTTTTTAAAGGTTGGAAACCTGCCAGATAAGACTCAAACCATCCAAGAGGGTGCAGGAGAATGATTAAGCTATGCATCAATGCCTTAGGGCTGCCTTCCTCACCCTCCTGAAGCTCCAGCTTGCCTAGTTTTATCACCTAACCCTTCATTTTCGTTCTTCCTATCCAGTTCAAACAAAGGCATTCCCAAACGCATCTACTTCCTTCTTGTGATGTGGACACATGTCACCCCAGTGCTGTGCCAGGCGAGTGAGGTGGAACAGTGAGGTGTAGAACACATGCTTGCACAGGCATGTGCACACATGCACATGTGCAGAAACACTCACACACACTCACACACGTACTCATACACACACATATACACACATGTGTTGAAGTATAACTGTCAGTAAGCCACAGAAACCCCTGGCTCTTTAGTTTGAAGTAGCTGATTGACTGGAATTGTTAACTAAGAATTTAGGGTAGCCCTGCTAGGGTTGTCCGATGATATCAGAGAAATCAGGGTCCCCTCTTGGGGTTCTTAGTTTCATTAATAAAAGAATGTAACAACCCACTCAAATGGAAGCCTTTATTAGAGTTTAGAAGAAAGTCCCCAGGGCAGGAGAGCTGTGAATCTCCACCGCTGCCTGAGGGAGCATGGAGAGAAGGGAAAATCCATGTATGGAGGTCAGACATGAAGGACAAGCAGCTGCATGATGGGGAACAAGCTTGAGAAAGAGAAAGAAAGCCCAGTGTACCAAAAGAAAGCATACTCAGGCTCTGGCCAGCATCCAGAGGAAAGAGACAGACAGGAAGAAAAGGAGAAAGCTGTGCCTTTTGAGGCCCAAATGTGAAAGGAGAGCAGACTCAACACAATCACATGGAGGATCTTAGGGACTCTGCTAGGTAGAGAGAATTCTGGGAAGGGAAAGTATAGTATCTCATTAAAGAGATAATTATTCCTTCCATCTCTTTAACATGGCTTAAAGTGAACCCTCATTCTTAGGGGTTACCTGCCATTCCGAGGGGTGGTCCCTTAGCCAGACTCTTAACCTGCCCAACTGGAATGTTGGATCTCTACTCAAGCCAGAGCTGCTGTGGCAGAATGAATTCTGTCTTTGCAGCCTGGCCATCATTGAAAGGATGGGTGGACCTTCTGGGGTTAGTTCATATAGGTGTTGGAAACAGCCCCTTTGTAGATAAGTAGAAATGTTTTCTGGGTTTCTTCCCGGGTGCTGCCTAGGTGGGCATGGATGACAGGGCCAGGGGAGTTTATTCCTAGCCTTTTGTAGGAATGCCTGTGAGAATTTAGGCAAAGGACTGAAGGAGACAGAGAGGGGTTGCCCAAGAGCTGCAGGTGTTTGTAAGCAGCTTCATGGGTTCTGGGAACCAGTCTTCAGTCTTCTGCAAGAGCAACACCCACTCTTAACCTCTGAGCCATCTTTCCAGTCCCAGCACCTGACGTTTTTACATGGGTTCTGGGGCTCAAACTCAGGTCCTCATGCTTACATGGTAATCCCTTTACCAACACCTCCACCCCCACTACCACTCCACACCCTTTTAACTTTGCAGGCATAGGCCCCAGTCTTCCTGTGAGCCTGAACTTGGCAACCTTACATCTCTGGATAAAGTCCATGCCACCAGCTCACAAGTGGATTTCTACTTTTCCATTTGCAGGACAGCTGTGCCAGAGTGCTGCTGTTTCGGGGTGGAAACAAGGAATTGAAAAACTACAACAGCCAGACTCCATTTCAGGTAAACAGAGCTCCCAATTCCACTGTGGCAGGCTACAGCTCTGGGGCATGGGAAGCTGCGTAGGGCCAATGACTGTGGCCCCAGACCTGGGGACTGGGGGTGGGAGGCTACACTGCATTGTTGCTGCATAACACTCTGGGTGGTTCCATTTGCCTGCCATGAAGCCTGCTTCCTTTAGACCAAAAAGTGGGAATAATGCAGAGACTCATCTCTGTAGAAGGTTCTAGAAAGGCAATGAAGTAAGGCCACTTTCAATTATGCAACTGTTGAAAAGTGCTGACTAGCTCAGAGAGTGGGAAGTTGATGGGCAGGGGCTTTTCGCTTTCTCCCCCTCTACCATCCTGGCGTGGAGAGAGAACAACCTCCACTCGGCCTTGCCTGGCACATGACCTTCTGGGAACACACAGCTGAGTTCATAATTGTTAATAAATCAGGGAAAATTGGTAGAACACAAAAGTTAGCACCTTAACCATTTAAAAAGATTTGACTAAGCCAATTTGGTGGCATTAAGGGCATTTAGAATGTTGCTTAGCTATGTCTCCCATTTGGCTAAGAACTCTGCCATCACCCCCAAAAGAGGTCCTGTTACCATTGAAGTGCCATTTCCAGCCCCTTCTCCACCCCGTAGACAGCCACTCATCCACTTCCTGCCTCAACAGAACCTTCTCTTCTGGACAGTTCATGCAAAAGGAACACATAGGGTATGGCTGTGTGGGCTTGACTTTTTCAGTTGAGGGTGGCATTTGATGTTCAGCTGGACAAGCCACATCTCGTAACACATCCCGCTGTAGAGTGGTAGGTTTCGCATGAAGCTTCAGGCCAGGCTCCTATGTTAAGCGATCAGGAAGAGAGAGAAGAAAGGTTTTTCTTGTCATATGGGATCAGAGGGTAAAGCCCTTTGCTGGTGACCAGGAACCCTGTAACCTTTGTACTCGTTGTGTTTTAAAGCAACTGCTCAGCCTAGGGACTGGCCAGTGATGACAATCACTAGGCACTGGGGTGCTATCATGGTTCTGTGGTTTGCTTGAAAATGAATAAAGTCTTCCAGGCTATTCTAGGCCCCCTTTCTCCAGGGGTTTAGAATGTCTTTCCTTGTGGAAGGTTCAGGGGTACCACATGCCACTGGTATCATGTATATTTGTTTTAAGATTGAGGTCACTTTGTTTTCTCTAGGGACTTTCCTCTTTGTGAGGTCATAAGCAGGGTCCCAAGACACCCCACTGCAGTGTTCCTGGCTATATCCTACATGGTATGAGCTGGCCTTAGCAAAGTCCACAAGGGACTGAACCTGGACACACATGTGCCCATGCACAGCTGTTCTTGGAGAGTTTCTGTGTAAATCTAGCCAGGACTCCGTTTAGCCTGTTCCTACTAGGAGCTATGGCCCAGTGCCTTTCTTCCTGTCATCTTATTGGTAGCATGGCATAGTTGACTATATATCACTGGTTAGTGCAATCGGTGCAGCCTCCAGTCCTGAAGGGGAAAGCTGAAAACCCCAGCCCTGATCTGCTGTTGGCCCTGCATTAGCCTCAGCCTAGGATACTGAACTAAGCTGTTCCTCTCTCATTCTCATATTTATGCTTATGCCTAGAGAAGGGTGTTAAGAGCTCTGCTCTAAGAATGGAGGTAAAGGCCAGATATGTGACTAAAATACTTGTGTGTGTATGTGTGTGTGTGTGTGTGTGTGTGTGTATGAATATTCATTTGCTGGTTCATGTATGCATGGGTGCTCGTGATTATGTGTGTCATTCCTCAGTACATACCGTTTACCCTATATTTTGAGACCAGGTCTATGACTTGATCTTGAATCTGTAAGTTAGGCTGGGCTGGCAGGCCACAGAACCCCAGGGGCCTACCTGCTGTGCACCCATCAATGCCACTACACCCTCACTTTTTACAAAGTGAGATATGGATATCAAACTCGGGTCCTCACGTGGTAGCCATCATCTCTCAAGTCCTGAAATATGTATCTCTTGTCCATCACAGCAGCCCGGGGTCTAGAGTCAGGCAAGAGTGTGGCAGTCTGAAGTCTGTTGGCCCTGCTGGCTGGCAGCCTGCTATTCCCGCCAAGGGCATGTAGCTGGGGAAGCCACTCATTTCTATGTCTCTGCTCTCCAAAATTCTGCAAGTCTTATTTGGGATTCAGGCTCTGTGTTCCCATAGAAACAGGGGAGTTGAAGTTGTATTTCTAGAAGAGGGACAGGAGCCCAAACTACCCAAAATGTGACTGGCAGACGATACATATTTATGATGAAAAGTAATCGGAGTTGAATCTGCTATCTCAGCCAGGCCAATTCGTACTACACCTTGAGAGACAGTGATGCTGCTTACAGGTGGTGGGGGAGATGAGGCCAGCCAGGCTGCACCCTGCTCCCACTAAGAGTACATGAGGCAGACAGGTAGCCAGCGAGTAAACAGACATGTACTGTATGCCAGATCTGCTAAACAGCAAGGAAAGCAAAGCACGATGGGACAGCAGAGTGAAATGGAGGCTGGTACCCCAGATAGCCTTCGTGACACCAGAGCAGAGTCCAGGAGAAAGGGAGGAGAGAAGGGAGGGATCTTTTGGGTCTCTGACAAAAGGAAGGTTGGAGCTGGTGGCTTGTGCAAAGGCCCTGGGGTTAGCATGTGTCTGGTTTTGGTGCAGCAAGGCCAGCCAGCTAGGGAGGGTGCAAAGGCCTGCACCTGTGGTTGGAAATGAGCAGGGCCATAGGCTTTGCCAGGGTTTTGGATCTAATTCTATGTGCATGTCCAGCATAGCAGAAGAAGGATGGAAATCAACCATTCATTGTGAGAGTCAGCCACCATGCCACTGTTGGCAGTGTGGATGAGATCTTAAACTGTGAATGAGTTGTCTGAGCTCTGTGACACATCATAGAGCCCACTGTCAATGTATGGGATACAGGACAATGGAAATGGAATTTTAAGAAGTGAGAAATTGGACCTGAGTCCTATTACCTTGTATCCTGAGTGCTGGGTAGATCTGGGTGTCATTCACAAAGTCCGTTCCTGCGCTGCTTAGTAGTGATGGGCAACTTGATAGAATCTAGACTCACAAAGAAGACAAGCCCCTGGGCATGGCTGAAGAGATGTCTAGACTGGGTTAATTGGGGAGGGGAGATCCAACCTGAATGTGGGGGACACCATCCCATGGTCTGGGGTTCCAGACTGATTGAAAAGGAGAAAGTGAGTTGAGTACCTGTGTTCATCTCTCTCCACTTCCTGACTACATACACAATGTATCCAGACACACCACATTCCTGCTCCTGCTGCCATGCCTTCCCCACCATGATGCACTGCGCCTCCAAAATGTAAGCCAGAATAAAGTCTCCCTTCCCTTCATTTGTCACAAAGTTGCTACATTTGTACTCTCTCCGATGACCCCCTCCCAGCTCACTCACTTCCCTCTCACCCTCACTCCAGCCACTCAAGCCTCTGTCCTTTTCTCAAGCGCACCCATGCCTCAGAACCCGGGTGTGAGCTGGCACCTTTGTAGATAGAACCTCCTGCAAATGTCCCACCCCAGCAGCAGCACCTGAACAAGTTCCATGTTGAGAGGTACCCCACACCACACACACAGTTTCCTCTTTGCATGTAAGCACTTCACACTGAAAACGGGGATGGATAGCTGACGATGGTCCACCAGTAAAGGGAGCGCAGCCCAAGTGAAAGGAAGATTGGACAACAGAAGTAAAGATGCTGGGTGGGAGCAGGGACAACTTGGGGCCTGGAAAGGACCTTCCAAATCGTCCTGACCTGGCATCCTCGGTGTGGCAGGAATGGCTTGGCCTGCATGAGAAGTGGTGTTCAAGGCTACCCAGAGGAATGCTAGCAAAGAGGCAGCAGCTGCCAGAGGGAAGCCAAGGTCAGGACAAAGAGGACTGAGGAGTAACCACATTCAGGATCCGAGCATGGATTTCCAGAGGAAGAAGAAACACACAGCGGCCTCTCGGGACAGTACCTGAGAGAAAGGAAGGGCACAAGGACCACATCTGGAAGGGCCTTAGGGCACAGTATAATATTCTATTCCCAGAGCTCTGGGAATAGAAGTAAAGATGGAATCCTAAAGATTTGCAGGGAAACTTCTGTTTCAGAGGACGGCCAGGGGCCAGGCACTTTGGAGGCAGCTGGGAAAACTCATTGCCAAGAGCGGTGGTCCTTCATCACAGTCCTGCAGGTGTGGGGGTGTCCAGTCACATGATTAGCACACATTCTCACAAGGCCTGCCCCTGAGGCTGCTGCAGGCCAATGCCCCCAGTGAGGGACTAGCTTGTCACACAGGGAAACCCTGAGCCACTCAGGAGAGGTGAGGAAGGGGGAGGTGAGCTGTCGGGGAGGATACCCAGGCAGAAGGAGCTTGTCTATGGGTTTGTACTGAAGGAGCTTGTACTCTGCAGTCCACATCTGTCAGAACTCAACAGTAACTGGAGGCAAGCAGGCAGATGTTAAAATATGCCCATTGCTCCCTGGAGGGATGTCTACTCAGTCTACTTTCAGGGGACCATATGCCTGGCTGTGGCAGATGCAGGTAACACGGTAGCATGGACACTGCATGGTGGTTAACCAGAGCCTGACACACTTGTTCAGGATTGTGACAAATGAGCAGAGTCCATGTCTTTCTAAGTCATGTTTAACCAGAAGGGATCAAGGAGGACCACCAGCCACTTTTTCTGTACACTTGGGCAAGAGCCATGTGTGAAACTTGGCCGGCACGGGTGTGGTGTGTGGGCCAGGAATGGGGTGACTTACAACCAGTGTGAAGGATTTCCTTTAGCCAGCTACCTGAATGTGTGACATAAATGAACCAAAATTTGATTTGGGGTTTTGAAAGATAATCTCACATTTCCTCTTCCCATCCTTCCATGGTCTTCCAGGTGTTGCTGAAGAGCAGATAGTTTTGGAATCTCTGGGGGGGGGTCTGGTCTGCCATCTCTCTGGCCCAGTCACCTCTGTTGTTCCTCATCCTACCCCAGCTTCCCAGAAGGTCTGGGTACCTACTC